GAGGACAATGAAGCATCTGAGAAGTAGTCTAGCGGGGTCTCCAGAAGCTGAGGAGTCTGACGTGGCAGGATGTAAGGATGTAGAAGGTGCAGAATTTTGTCACCTGCAACTTGTAAGATGTGCCGCTAAATCGTAATCTAGGTCTTTAAACCAAATGGACTGGTAACCCTGGTAACCCTAGTAAAGAGTGTCCACGTTTCGTTATGGTCCCTTTTACAGCATGTATGGTGATGAGCGGGTCCTGTTCGAACTTTCAGCCCAGTAATTGCCGTCAGCCTAGCTCGATGACGTGAAGGTGCCAAAGCTTACACAACTGCAAATACTTGGTTATTACGTTTCCACAAGACGGGGTGTTAGATTTGTTCGCTGGAAAAAGGTGCCATATAAGTTATTGTCTATATCAGCGTTACCATCCGACCACTGGGGGTGCCCTTTTGTAGTTTAGTATAGTCCCTCATATAGTTCCCAGCAAGGAACGCATGTCCATTCCTGAAAATGTAGACTGTAGCCCGTATGTACTACAGTAGCAAGTATCAAAAAGCACTGCCATGTAGGGAAAGCCCAGCAGAGATGGCAGGTGCAAATCCAGAGGTCCAAAGACTTCAGCTACAGGCCCTGACTGTTACTGTAGGGGTCTAAATAAGTAACTGTATCATGGTCTCAAATTCCTTGTAGAAGTATACTAGAGTAGAGGGTATCTGAAACAGACCTCCAGAATTGTGCTGGTAACTACTTACGGCCATGCATGTTACGTGCCTTTCGTTTGCATGGAATGAGGGCAGGTGCCATTCTGACTTTGGTGATCCTAGGGTCTTGGCAGGCCTTTGGTTAGCTGGGGATGAAGGAATGGAAAAGAGAACGGAAACTACTATAATGGGCTATATAGGGATTACTATAAGGATCCATTCCTTCATTCCTAGCCAACCAAAGGCCAGTTGGTCCCTCGTTCCTTCATTCTCTTCCTTGCGCGAGCCGAGGAGAGAGGTTTGAAAAAGTCGTGGCAATATTTCGAGGGTATCCTATGCAGAAGCATCAAACGTATTCATTACATAGCGTAGGTGCTCTGAAGGGAATGCTTTTTTCAGTGCAGGAGGATGGCAATTTTGTTCCGAGGCAAGCGCTCTGTCATGTCTGCAGCCTGTTGGGTATGCGGTTTCAACGAGGGCAAATGTAAAGCACGCCTTCCTTTGCGTGTTAATGATTCGCCTACCCACTTTTGCTGCATGTCGCTTTGTTATGATGGCCTTTGACTGGGAACGGAGTTTGCAAACGGTTTGCACCGTCTAGATCAGATGGCATCAGAGAGGACGCCTGTTCACGTAGCGCACCTCATTTACATCCACGTGGCTCCTGAATCATTACCATTTAAAGCCCCAAACGTGGTTGCGTAGAGCTCCAGCAAAGTCCGGTACAGGCTAAAATGAGCATCTTTCAGGTTTTTGGGTGCGGGAAGAGGCATGTCCAGGCTCATGGGACTCAAAATTGTCCCATTTTTTCTGGCGAAATTGATAGCGGCGACCCTCACCGGATACCCCCTACACATGGCATAGCCAACAGGGGGCAAGCCGTCATCGTAGTCGCTGAGGTATGCGAGAAATTTAAGTCCGGCACTATGTGACGTTGTTGTACCTGGAATTCAAGCATGGAAGTTGTGAAGCTTGTGCTCCGCCATAGCTGCAAGAGTCTCAGTCCAGCACTCAACAGCTACTGTTTTGCACATTCGCCATGATGCGCAAGACCCTTCTTTGCGGGCTACTTGGCTTGGCCCTTGCAAGTGAGAAGTTCCTCAGCCGCAAGAGTGACATTTCAGTCCGGTGTTTCCTTCAGGGCTGGGCAGACAACAACCATTTGGGCGACATTTTGGACGTGACCCGGGACTGCTTCACGCGGAACACTGTGCAGACGGACCATGGTATTGGAGAGCTACAGGGCACCTTGGGAGTTGCCACGGGTTGTGTCATCACTAACCTCGACGCGCGTTGGGGTTGGCACCCTGAGCTTGTGGGCTCCGGCTCTGACACAGGTGGCCCATACGACCTCTATGGGGCGCGCATCACCTTGATTGGCGTGGAGACACCCACGGGCCGCTGGCAGTTCATGATGCGCAAGGGGCACTGACTCTGAAGTACGAGTGAGGTATGGCATAGCACTGAGATGCAGCTGTCAGTAATTAGCAGCTTTTGGTCGACAGCTGGCTTTTCGCGAGAAGCAGGCTCCTGCAACTAACCTCTCCCCTTACGGGTACTATTTAAGAAGTATGCATTTCTTGAGGTGCGGGTGGTAAATCATAAGAGGGAGGGGGCTTTAGGATCCTGACCTCGACGAATCCCCAAGTCGCCTTGGTGTAAAGAGCCAAGAACAGGCATGGTGCAGCAGCAAAGCCTGCACCGCTGCAGCAGCTTGTACAGTCGTATGATCAAAAAGGAGAGCCCGTAGTTGAACATAGTTTGTGTCATTCCCCTTTGCAGCAGCTGTTACCACGATAGGTAAGAAGAGTTAGAGTAGGCCTTGAATTCAAACACCTTTGAGGACAGTTACTGTAAGGGGGAATGATCCCAAGAATAGTACTGAATACTGCAACATGGCCTTCATAAGAGGAGCAGTCACGGAGACATGGATAGCACAGGCACTTTCCAGGACCCTAGACCGCCAGCCTCAAACGTATGTCAAGAGCTCCGAAGAAGGACCAATATTTTTCCAAAAGCCGCCTCAACTCACAACCCTCGACCGCATCGAAAACCCTGAATTTGAGAAACCCTGTATCATCCACAGCACTGCAGCTATTGATTACTTACGACTTGGTAAGGCCGATGGCTTTCCAACTAAAGAAAGCCTGAAATCTTGACACACTCGCGTAGAGACTTCCAAAACAGACTCATTGTTCTTCCTGGTGCGCAAAAGGCACTTGTAAAGGGGCATCGTAACGTTGTCGAGTGAAAAGTTTTCCCGATCTCCCATTGGGTTCGGCGTTAAATTCCTGAGCATTTTTGTCCAGACCTGCTTTTGCCCAAACAGGCGCCGGTAGCCCACGCCTGTGTGGATCCATCCAGGCTTTGAAATGGGCACTCCTATAGTGGGGCTGTATAGGGAATATATAATGGTTGGGGGGGGTGTATATAGGGGAATGGAAAGACAATGGGAAGTACTGCATAAGTTCATTTTTGCAATCCCATCAGTTTCTCGTTTTCTGTAGCTCTTGACCGTCTGGTCCTGATTAGTACTATGGTACAAACAATGCGATATCATCAATACATGAGTTGAGAGCTTCTGTTGAAAAATGGAGGGCGGGTCTTAAGGTCTCAGTGGTCTACAGTTGGCATAAGAGCTTGAATGACCCAGGAAAGTGCAAACTATTGAACCATGTGATTCCGAACGCCCTCGTCAAAGGCTGCAGCTAGTGCGGCAGTTCGTGGATTCCATATGTTTGGAAAGTTTAGTTACGATTCACTTGAACGTGTGCCATCGCGAGCCACATTCTCATAGCTACAACACTGCTGACACCAGCAGTTTATCTGCTTGCAGCGGTGCTGTTTAGTACTGGCGATTACCAGCCCTACCTTGATAGCATTCAATTCGTTGCCTCGCAATGTCATTCTCTTTCTTGTTTTCCCTCTGGTCAAGCTAAGTACAGTAGGGCCTGACCAGATCGCCTGTCAGAGGGCGTGGGTGCTTCTGCCAAGTGTACTGTTTCTTTGGAGTGACACTCATCCTGTCTCTGGCTCAGGTATCAGAGTTAAAGGCCAAATGGCATGGTGTTTTGCCTAGCACCTATGTATGTTGAGGCATACAGCTGTCTGCAAGAAACCAGGTTGCTTTGATCTCAGATGCGTATACAAGTGTGCCCAAATCTTCATGCACTTTGTATAGCTGTGAAGCACCTCTTTACACGACAGAAGGCCTTCGAGATTCGCATTTGGTGGCCTCGAGAATGCGCCACTCTCAGAAGCCAATTGCCGGTTTCCTAACCCAAACGGCTAGGCTGGATGTGCTTTTGTTAGCTAGTTAAAATTCCTGGTCAAGCACACTGTAGCTCGATTTGATCTAGCCCACGAAATTGGGGTGCAGCTGTAGCTGGACATGCTCATCCCTAAACTTGACGCTATTTCAATATCCATTATCCCTCCTATTTCAACTCGGGCTGAGGATGTCAAAATCTTCGACCTCGAGCGCAAAGAGGCCAGGCGATCCAACGTCCTGCAAGTAGTTTTGACGAACTTGTCCACAAGTTTTGAAAAATCATACCAGAATTTCTGTCAAGCCTGAGAAGTAAGCAAAGGAAATTGGAGCGTTGCAACAGCAGATATGAGCATATGATGTCTTACGGCAGGTATCTAATTTTGTGCTCAGACTTTCATTCTTGTTCAGCGCACTGGCAGCATCATACATATATGTTCCTCTTTTTTCCCACGCATGTATGTATGTGTGGTACTACTTACCTTGACTAGTGAGGTTCACAGGCTGTTGCTATAGCATCAGTGTCGAAGCATGCAATTCTGGCAGAGACAGGCCAACCATACTGACCTGCGGGCCTGATGTTTCTGGGTTGCTGTTCCGGAAGTTAAGATAAGTTATCATAATATGGGTATGTAGGGTTTAGGGTTTACATAGCCATAATAGTATATAGTAAAGAATAGGGCTTCCCTATCAAAATGAATTAGCTTATGCTCCTTGACAGCACCTATGCTTGAACCACAAGACAACGACTGCTCGATAGAGCACTTTCATGCTTCATGATAAACTGACCACTCATGGTCAATACTTGAAGCTTCAGCTATGTATCCCTGGAACTGCCTTAACCTGAAGTGGTAGATCCCATCACGTTGTTTTCCATTGCCTTTTCATAACTTGTATAACCCGTATACAGGCCATATATAATTAACCCCCATAATTTCTATACAACCCCTATATAGCGTCTATGACCCCTGTATAAGCCCCATACAACCCCTATGTAGCCGCGCTTTTGGCCTGATATAACCCCTATGTAAGCTGCGCTTGGGCAGGTCGTATGGACGGCGAGGAACGTGCGGGAGTGGCTAAGCTGGTCAGCTGGTTCTTGTCATCGAAGGGGGAGGGCAAACGTGGGTTTAGGATTTAGGGGATATTCCTACACTTACTGGTTGTTAGTGAGGTGTGCGGGAATATAATCCCTATATTATCCCTATATAATATATTCCCAGATTCCCTACTAAGCACCAGTAAGTAAGGACTGTTGCGAGGCCGTTTGCTTTCCACTCCGGGCCTTCAAGACTTACGGATTCAATTAACTAAACACCAGACCCGCAAGCTGCTTTCACCCTGTGAAAACCCTCAATCCCAAGCCGCGCCCTAAACTCTAGGTAGTACTGTAGTTTCCATTTTTTCGTTATCCATATGTAATCCCAACATAACCCCTATGTATGCCCAATTGAGCCCGAAAATAGAAAGTTGCAACAAGCCGAGGGATTCGCTTTGCCTCAGAGTCCCGGTCCCTCTCAGCGAGTTTGTGCTTGGACCTGTGGAGTTTTAGGGTTTAGGGCTTGTAGGGCTTAGGGGGTTTGGGGTTTGGGGATAATGGAGAATCAAATTGAGAATTAAATGGGATCGGCTATTATAGGGATTGTATAGGGATAGGTGTATAACGGAGAATCAAGTGGACAAGAAACTGGAGAATGCAATGGAAACTGGTGTTATACAGGTTTACTGACTCGGCAAGAACAGGTTAGTGTTTTCAGAACTTGTGGTTTTGTGGGAGTTTTGAACAAATGCCATTGTCGGTTACAAATAGGATGGATTTGAAAGCTGACCCAGTTTAGGCTGCTTTTTGAGCTATAGGGTTGGCATGTTAGCTCGAGGATCACGCTGGCTGCTTAAGCGGGCCTTGCTTTAAGACTGCCCCTAAGCCCTAAACTCTAAACCCCTAAACCCTAAGCCCCTAGACCCTAAACCAGTTACATCCAGCCTTGTACTTGCCAAGGGTGTCAGAGATGAGGCCGTCTTAGTCAAAACCGACTTCTGAAAATCAGCTTGGCTGGAACGGATCAATACCGGTTCTACAAGGGTTATATGCAGAGACAACGGAAAGAAAAATGGAAGCTACTGTTTGAGGCTTGGGGCAGGGGCGTGGGATTCGGGGTTTCAAGAGTTCCGTGGTAACATGTGAAAGAAGGCTGCCTAGAGAAAATGCCCTCAGGCCCTGCCGTCTTCACACTGAGTTGCCAGGTAAAAGTTAGCACCCTCGGATGGGCCACGACGATGTGCCCTGCCCGCTCCTTGATCACGTGGGATGCTGAGCTTCCCTTGGATTTTGCTGGGATGCTTGGGGTTGTGGTTCCCAGACCACGTAAGGGATCCAAAAAAGAGACCTCCCAATAGTCCCCTTGCGTGCCCAATGTAGTAATGAGGCCTAGTTGGGGGGGGGGGGGGGGGGNNGGGGCGTCCATTGATCGGATCCTTCAAGCGAGTCTGGGTCAGGGAGACGTTCGACTATGTTTGTGTTGGTGCTGGCTGGGATTCTCTGCAAAGCGGGAGAAAGCTGAACCGCCGCAACACCACAGAAGCTTTAAGCTGCGATGATCAAGCTGAGCTCCCCGCTTGAGCTATTCAGAAATTCCTGCATGGTCGCAAGAGAACCCTTTTGCTTTCCTGCTGTCCCATGTCTCGATGGTAGGTGCGGCACCTCGGATGGTAAGATTCGCGTCTACGACGCGAACGCGCAGAGGAGGCTGCTGGATAGGGGCGTATTACCTAGGGTACGGAAACAAAATTTATCAAGCCCGCCCTTGGGGGGGTCGCCTATATCAATCTAAACCCTAATACTCCTATACCCCCATACACAGCATTTAAATCCTACCTACCCTTTTAACGGGTACTGATTCCACATGAGCACAGTCAAGCTCAAGAGGCCGCTTTTCGAGCTCCAGGTGGGCTACAAGGTGGGTGCAGGCGCCAAGGGGGACCAGCGGATTTTGGGCTATCTGGGGTTGAGGGTTTAGGTATGGGCTTAACTGGTTTGGGGGTACGGAAGAACGGCCATAGCGTTGAGGCGTTGAGGAATATAGGGTGTAGGGATGGCGGGTGTAGGAGTGTGCCATCCCCCGAACTGACATGGAGCTCGATGTCGCACCACTTAAACGGACACCCACCTGGGGTTTAGGGTTTTGGGCTTTGGGGGAGATGGGGTTCGACAGTTTGAGGACTAGAAGTCTTGGTCTCTTGCATTGCTTGGAAAAGCACCTGAATGAATTGAAAGCAGGCTGACTTAGGCTCCTCTTGAGAAGCAAATTGGAATCACAGTTTCTGTTCCTGTCTTGCCGGTTGATTTGTTTCCAGTAGACGTTCTCAACCCCTGGATCAGAATGCACACCTCAGCATTCATCAAAATTAGGATCCCAATGGAAGGTTTAGGGTCTTTGGGATGTAAAGTAAATCCTGATGATAGTTCTCTAAGGAAAGTAAGCATGATATTGAGCACCCTTCATCTTGAAATTGCCAGGTGCTGGTGGCTGGACTGGGGTGTCTGACGACACGAAAAGGCACATTTCCCCTTTCAAAGTACGACCACACCTTTATGCAAATGCAACAAGGGAGACTATATAACTACATGCTGATACTACGCTTCATGCAGATCCGGGGTGTGGAAGTCATTGCTGAAGCTCCGAGGATCCATGGCTTCACATAGGGTGTGTCAGGTGTGGAAGATTCGGCCCTCTTGGGGCAACGCGGGTTTTTGACTTCTGGGTTGTACATAAAGGAAACCATGAGTTGGGACATACGTGTATGATCCTTTATGTAGCCAGTAATCGAGACCCAGGATGCGGGAATCCGACACCATCTCGCAGGCTGTGGGATTGCATGTGATTGCTATCTAAAGGCTCTGGTAAAGTCTCTAGCTCTGTCTTTCCAATACCTCTTGACAACAAAACTGCGGTGGATATGGTGCTCATGAGGATCTCAAGTTGCCTATTGATTGGATGCATTTGTCTCAGGAGGCTTCCGAACCGCTTGAACCGGAAAACCCAACGCCCTCAACCCATGAACTCTAAACCTCTTCACTCCGTATGGGGCTTAAGATTACGGATTTTTGCGTGCCACGTATAGCCCGGCGCCTAACATGTTGGGGACCCCCAAAAGGGACCATAATTTTGCCAGCAAATTAGGGGGTACCTTTCTGTGGTCCCCATAATACGGATGGTAATTTGTTGGGGTCTACATTCCGGGGTCCCCGTTTTTCTGCAAACTACCATATCCCCTTGCTTGCATCCCCTAGACCCTAAGAACCTAAGTTTGCATCAATTACCATATCCCCTTGTTTGGATCTGCCCAAGTTTTTGAGGCCCCTGGTCTGCAGCCGCATCGCATCTGTTCGCAGAGCACTGAGCTTCACTCATCCTACATTTGGGGACGAGGCACCCCAGTAGTACCCTTTTCCCCTTTTTATTTCGGAGTCTCGCTATTCAAACTGAACAGTAGGAAAAGTGTACCCTTATCATTAAGTGGTTCCTGGTGAACCGAGGGGAGTTTCCAAACGTAGCGGTGGAACTTTTTAAGGGGCGCTTTAATTAGGAGAGCCCCAATTTAGGGGTATGCTGTTCAGGGCACCCGGTTCTTGGAAATTAGTCGCGCAAAATCCTTCGTACGGATGAATCACGGCAGTTGGCGTTTTGCAGTGGAACTCGTCGTGACAGGCAATACTTGATACCTGCCAAGCAAGGTGCGTACGTGGGCAGAATGCTTCTTGATTATTGGCTAAGATGGCAGTGCTACAAACTGAGCAACAGCCACGCAACCATGCATAAAGGGATGTTTCCAATTTGCACTGAACAGCCAAATCGCAGAATGGTAGGAATAGTGGAAGCGAGAGACGCATGTGATTTTCAAGCCTCACTCTGAAGATTTCACGAAATCATGGCCATAGCAGCCACGGTAGTGGTAGGCCTCCGGATTGCATTCTGTCGCTGAAGGTGGTGATGGCTGGGGCCTGTTTGTGGGAGATACCCTTGGCGTCCTGCGCGAGTGCCCTGATCAGACTTGAGCCTTTATCAGCGGGAGTCCCATTTGTAGGCCATGACAAATTAGAAATAGCACAACTTTTGTTCACGGGACCTGGGACCTGGTAAAGACCTTCCGATCAGGGGGCCATGCCTTCTTTGATGGGGGTGGTGCCGTCCCCAGTAGCAAGCGATGGCATTCTGTATGCTGACAGATGACAATACAATTTAAACTATGCCAGCCTGAAAACCTGATGACCCCTAGAGTTCTGATGCCAGGCTGATAGAGCGGCTGTGCAGATCACGTACGGATTGACCGAGAGCGCTTCAACAGCATTCACATATTCTTTGCAGGGGCTAGTATGTATGCTGATACTGGCTCTCCGCTGGGAAAAGCCTAGCCGGCAACTCTAGGAGTGTTAAGCATGAGCCACTCTACGCGTCGAAGATCTTCATATTCGGCCACGAGCAGCCTTTGGGAACTGGGCTGGCAGTTGCGGTATGTCAGGCCTGGAGGTGCGCCTTGACCTCCATACCAAAGTACACAACTTCTGAAGGTTCTGCAGCTTTGAAGGACTCCTGCTTCAGATGAAATCTGCTCATGAGCTGGAAGTCCTTTGCATGATTTGGTGGGTCTTGAGCGAGCAACGCGAGTTGCTATAGGGCTTCACTGTACCATCCCCAGGAGCACCGGAGGCTTGCAGAATAAGGGTCAGAGCCTCCAGTGGTGTGTCAACGATCGAAGGAGTATGCTTAGCAGCCATGCTGCTTCAACGGCAATTTGTAGTCCTGAGTTTCTTTGCGTCGGCGTCACGCACTGCAGTCTGAATGGCTTTTCGGACCTAAAAAAATGATCACAGCATTGATGCTTGGACCCTCAATGTTCAGCTTTAGGTACGACCTGCGGAACCTGCCCAAGACTCAAACGGCCGCTGTGCCGCCCGGGCGCAAGCCTGCTACCCAGAGCTAAATGCATCCATCATTCAGCATGGTATTATGGTTTAGAGTTTGAAGGGTTTAGGGCTTGTAGCGTTAACGCTTTAGGAGTAGATGATCTTCTGCAGAAATCCAAGAACAGTTGTAGGCACGATAAGGGGTTCTCAAAATTATGCACTGCTGGGAATTTGTTGGAGGGCCCTCAATACAATGGCTATGGCCGTCTTGCTTTGGTTACCAGGAAGATCCACCAGCTTTGCAGACTTCCATATGAGCTATAGTCTTAAC